CCTGATGCCCCCGGACCCCCCAAAGTACTTTAATACTTATCATCTTTTTTTACCTCAGAGAAATCTCAACACCCACACTTTTAAACACTGTGTGTGCGAACGGGTCATTCCAAATTGTTCAGAAACAAGAATACTGACCCTAAAACCAATCAAAACCCGAATAGTGGCTGCATGTTAACAATGTGAGCCCCCCCCCCCCCCCCCCCCCCCCCCAATAATTTTCAGTCAGATGAGAGTTTTTTGCTTCAGTCCCTGTCGTAGCAGTAAAATATTGTGTTTGTGATGAACAACAGAACTGATGGCCAACTGATCTTTGAGATAAAATTCTTGAAAAAAAGTTGAACCACGTAGCTACACATCGCCAACTTTTCTGTTATTTGAGTGTTTGCTGTGTTCCTCCCAACAGGATGTGACTGATGACGGTTCTAAGACGGTCTTATTTTATGACATCTCTCAGAGTGAAATCAAGGAACTCAGAGAAGTTTTGATTAAAAACTTTTCTGTAAGAAACTTCCTGCCTCTGCTCAACAAGGTATAAACACATGGAAAACACAAGGATGTCTTACAGTGTTTGAATAACTTCCTGTTTCTCCTCATCTGTGCCGCGTTTGTGTGTCCAGCTGTATGTTGAGTTTGCGTCCAATCATGATGTCGACCTGCTCGGACTTTCCTACAGCAAACACCGAGAAGGTCGAACTCACAAACTGTACAGGCTGAAATCACCAAATTTACCCAATAGAACAGCAGGTCAGTTTTTATTTCAGTCCGGAATTATTGAAGTGCATCTGTAATCCAGATTATTTCCCTTTTACTTACTGGAAATAAAAAAAGCATGTAAGCAGCAATGTGGGAGAAAAGATTCAAATTGTAGATAAGATATCTTGTTTTTCTTCACCGTTACAAAATTTAGTTGGAGGATTCAGTAAAGAAAAGCCTGGATTAATTATTTAATTAACCTGCACGAGTCTTTAAAGAGCAAGTCACCCCCTACTAGAGTATTACTCAACTCTCACTTCCTGTTTGAAAAATGCAACAAATGCTGTTGCCTAGCAGACCGAGAGGGCGAGCCGCTAACAAATACACACACACAGGCTCACAACGACATTGTGACCTCATATGGTACCAGCTAACGGTCTAGGGTACCTCCTAGCCAATAGCGATGGCAGATTTAAATTAAAATGCAGTGCAAAGTTTTTACCTGACAACGGCACAACACTGACAGTTTTAGGCAGAAAACTAAAATTTTAACTAAAATGCACTAAAGTACAAAACTGTTGACTACACGTGTCTGCAGCACAATTAGACACTCATTTGTATAGTTTATCAGAAAAAAAGGTTGATGTGGGGGTGACTTGCTCTTTAAACAGGTTTGGATCAAATGATTCTGTGGTTTATTGCTGAGTTTGACTCATAATTTGAATTTTATCTAATAACTTAAAAACTTTCTACAATACTTTGGATAAAAGACCGTTTAACACAACATCTGTGTTCAGATTATAATCCTCTTCTACTCTGAATCATTCAACAGCAAAAGCCAACATCCCACCAGGCTGCAACCCTCCGTTCTGGCTCACCATGAAAACAGCTCCTTACTTATTCCCTACTGCCACTCCGTGGTTCTACATCCCAAGTAAGAGAACGGATCAGAACCTCACATTTGGCTGAATTCAACCTTCTGTCACCAACTGACTCTTTGTTTTGTTAATATCTAGATTATATCACCGTCAGTAAAGTCAAGAGCATTCCTGTAAGTGACTCAGCATCTTTCATTTAATCAGGGCCTGAAATTCACTGCGGGATTGCGGGTATTGCACGTTATATAGTCGCTTCTCGCAAATCTAGTTTTATAATGCGGGAAAGTCCCGCACAGCCTACAGCGAATGTGGACGTTTGTATCGGAGCCATTAAAATCCCACAACATCGAACCCGTTCTTCATCTTGGTGATTGGCGGCGCGCTGGATTATTTTTTTTCTCCACTTATCAAAATACAAGCTCAGTCCCTTGCTAGCAGCAAAGCAGTGCTTTGGTTGTCGGATTTAACGCCTGCACGCAGACATGGACTGCTGGTTAAAACGGAAATCTAACAACGAAGGGGAACCTGCTCCCAAAAAAACTTTACAAGAAATCCCCAGCAAGGGAGGAGGCGCTGGAGGCAGGGCGGGAGGCAGCGCTGATTCCAGCGATGCTGTGAATGAGACAGATCCTCCGGACTTTCAAAAAGGTAGCGTCACTGAAAGTAACGTTAGCAAGCAGCCTAAAGATAAGTTTCAGGCTAACTGGCTCAGACTGTATCCCTGGCTTGAAAATAATAATGTGAAATGAACTGCTCCATTTGTAAAAATCGCCCTCCGCAAGAGCAGTTTGATTTCAACCGAGCTTTTATCAAATAAGAGATGAAGCAGAGGAGACAGAAGACAGAGAGGACAGAGGACCAAGCGGAGCGTGGGAGAACCCCGCTCCAAAACTAATTAGTACTAACAGATACAATAATGTACGTAGTTGCAATCGTGTTTGATGCCACATCAACTAAACTGTTTGTGTTAAAAGTTGGGTTAATGAAAATTCATCAGTTTGAGATGGAGGAATTCAGAGACAGAAATCAGAGTAAGAAGAGAAGATGGAGACAACAGATAAAGAAGCACAAACAAGAGCAAAGATGCAGCCCAGAGAGTTGGACAACATACTTCAGCAATGAAAATTGTTCAGATAATTTCTAATACCAGTGCAGCAAAAAGGAGCATTTTTATTTGATTTTTATACTTCAAAGTTGTTACAATGGAGAAAGAAGCAGTGTTAGAGGCCAAGAAAAAGACACCATTCAGACAAAAGAAAAGATGGCCACAGATGCAGCTATGAGGACCACTAAGGAAGATTAAAAAAAGTTAATGCATCAATCTGAGGTAAGAATACAGCAATGTTAAGGCCTTTTGTTAATCCCACAAGTAGTTCCTGGAAAGTTTATATTTATTTTTTTAACTTCCGTGTGAGGAAAGAAATCAGGCAGAGGAGATGAAACAAAGAAAGGGACGAGCAACGAAGATGAGAATGCTGCAGGAGTCCAATGAAAGCTGCTTATAAACGTGATGTAAGGTATGGTTAGAACAACATAAGACTGTACAGGGGAAATTTACATATGGGGGGGGGGGGATTACCGAATGTGCAGACATATGTGAGGGGGGAATTCCCCCCCTATTTTTTAGAAGTGAATTTCAGGCCCTGTTTAATTAAAATAACTGCAGTAACACAATATTACATAATTCTTCCCATAAACATTATTTATCTACGAGTCTTGAAGTGTAGACTCAAGCTCAGTAAGGGAGCTGCCGTACGCTGATCCTGCGGTTTTTAAACCCCTCTGCCACGCAGGAAACTGACTGTCAGAACTTCACGTCTTTTGCCGTCATGCTGACGGGTCTGCCGGAGGACAACTACACCGTGGACGACATTGCCAAGCTGGCGTGGCAGTATTTGCCTCTGAAGAATTTTCAGACTCTGTACACAGACCTGATCGTGCTTCCGCTGCAGAGGAGGGTGAGTAGCTGATTATTTGTGGATTTACGTAATCAGCTTGTGAGTGAATCGGTTACAAGTTTCAAGCAGAAACACAACAGCTTGTTTAGGGGACAGAATAACAGGAGGTTGTAACCTCGGCTGTGTCGGTATTTTTGGCCTGCATCCTGTGAAGGACCTGACCTAAGTCTATTCCTTCCTCAACCATAAAGACAGGAAGTGAGCGGTTGTGAAACTGGACCGTCTAACCTTCTGATTTAGTCCCACTCTTCCTTTGCTGTGTGTCCTGTCTCCTAGCAACCATGATATTGCTAAATAGAATCTTGAGAAAACTACTTGAAGCTTTGCAGAGTATTTTTTTATCACTTATCCTAAAGCAACATTAAAGAGCAAGTCACCCCCCAAATCAACTTTTTTTTCCTGATAAACTAAATAAACGAGTGTCTAATCGTGCTGCAGACACGTGTAGTTAATAGTTTTGTACTTTAGTGCATTTTAGTTAAAATTGTAATTTTCTGCCTAAAACTGGCAGTGTTGTGCCGTTGTCAGGTAAAAACTCTGCACTGCATTAGAATTTAAACCTGCCACCGCTATTGGCTAAGAGGTATGCTATGATGTAAACTGGTCCTTATGATGTCACAATGCCGTTGTGAGCCTGTGTGTGTGTGTATTTGTTAGCAGCTCCACCCTCTCGGTCTGCTAGGCAACAGCATTTGTTGCATTTTTCAAACATGAAGACGGAGTGAAGTAAGTTTCTTGTAGGGGGTGACTTGCTCTTTAAATACTTTAACACAAGTAAGCTGTTGCTTTCAGACTTGTTCAGTGTATCTTGAGGGAGAAACGTTACCACCTTCACATTGGACAGCTTACTGCTGCCTAGTTACTGGACTTAACAGTTTTGTGGAGCGGGTAGGAACTCTAGGGGGAGCTCTCTACCTGCTGTATGGCTGTTACCTGTTTACTGTGTCTCTAGCTAATATGAAGGCTAGCACTCGATTGAGGACGTTAAAGGAGGCTGTAAAGTCACGGACTGATGGTGACCTGGCTTTGTTGCTATTGGAATTTAAAAAAAAAATGTTGTCCAACAATTTGTATCTGCTGAGTTTGTGGCTTATTTAGTTTCAGTTGGCTTCTGTTAGCTTTAGCTCATTATTAGCACTAGCTACAGCAGGCTGTGGTAGGGATGTTTACAACCATTGTAATTCTGCTTTTAACCAATAGGAGGGAGAAAAGGGAAACCTATCAAGTGTTGCTTTAACCTAGAGGAGCGGTAAAAAGGGGTTGTGGGGCGGTTGCTCCACTGTCACAGACTTGATTTCAGCTTGGACATAACTGTGATCGCAGCTGCGCTCCTTATGCTTTTTTAACAAGCCGCTCATAAAGGTGTCTGCCCTCCACTGTCCCTGTGCAGTCTCTGGTGATCTGAGCTCCAGCTCTGATGGAGAGAAGCTCCTGGAGCTCTGCATCGCTCCAGTTTATCATCTCAGCTGGTTCTGTCTACAAAAGTGAAATTTACAGCCATTTTTACTTCCATATTTAATATAGTTGCCGACTGGAGCTCAGCAGTAACCCCCCACGTGATCATGACGCCTCCCTTTTTTATTACATGAAGATTTGTTGTACTTTGGTGTTTCCAGTCTCATCTCTCTCGTCTTCAGGTGCAGAATGTGGGTTTATGTCTGCTCACTGGGATGAGAAAGAGGGAGCATATAACTCCTGTTTTGGCTTCACTGCACTGGTTGCCTGTACATTTTAGAATCCAGTACAAGGTACTTTTATGGGCGTTTAAGTCTCTGCAGGGTTTTGCTCTGAGTTTTCTCTCTGAGCTACTTGTTCTTCACTCCCCTTCACGGTCTCTGAGGTCAGGTGATAGGCTACTCCTGGAAGTCCCTAGATAATCTCCTAGGTGATGGGGCTTTTTCAGTAGCAGCCCCTAGGCTCTGGAATGTGCTGCCTCTACACATTAGGTTGGCATCTTCTCTGTGCTGGTTTAAAATGCTTCTTGAAAACCCAATTTTTTGCTTTGGCTTTTAACACGGCATGAAGACTTTGTTCATTCGTACATATTTTATGATGTATATCGTTGTGTGTTTTGCTTTTTTAAATTGTAGTTCTGTGAAGCACTTTGGTGAGTTTCATACTGTTGTAAGGTGTTACGAATAAAGCTGGCTTGGCTTGGACGTCTTCATCACATTGCTGTAAGGACACAGCCCTCGTCTCTGTTGTCATAGTAACACCACTGCTGTCTTTAGCACTCAGACCTTGCTAATAGGTTACTAGACCCAGTCTCTAAACTGGGTCTAGTAACTTCAGTAAGTTGTAGCGGTCACACTGTATAGCGTGACGACTGCAAATTAATTACGACCAATAAGATGTGATGATTCTATATAAATATGAAATATCAACCTGATTGATCTCTGAATGTTTAATCAGAAGAGTTTAGGATTCCATAAACACACTTCGTATTAATTCAGACAGAGTCAAGTATGTAGTTTATATAATGAATTTTATTCTTTTCTAAACTAATGAGTATACATGACAAGACATGAATAATGAGATGTGATGGAGTGGATATGCGCTGATGGAATGTGAGGTGTAGGTGGTGTGATGTAAGCTAGATGTTTATCAGAATCTTTGTATCTGAAAGAAATAGTGAAATCTGGGTGTAAAAGAATTTGTTGTCCGCTATAAACTAGAGAGTTGATTATTAATAAAACAGCATCAGACGCAATCTGTTGTCTACAAACTCTGGCGGAGACCCCCAGCAGATCTGGACTGTCAGAAGTCGGGTGGACCTCCCGGCACCGGGATTTCGTAGATTAAACTCCGATACGACCGGTCCAGTCTTGAGATGTCTCCAGGTCACAACAGTAGCTGGAACGCTTGTTTGCGTCCAAAGTGGATGTGGCTCTTAGGGAGCCGTCTGGCTGTGTCAGCTTGCAGCGTGCAAACAGGTTTTGACTTTATGCCAAAAGAGATGTCTCAAGGAGGCTTGTTCCGAATTGGCCGGTTCGGAACGCCGCTAGAAACTGAACTAATCGGGAAGTAATTCCTGTTTTATTAAACTAGCTTGTTATGATTTCTGGCCATTCTGGCAAATCAGAATGTGCCATGTCTGGAAGGCTTTACCAAAACATTCCTCAGAAAGCCACGCCTTCCTTCAGATACAAAAATGTTTTTAACCTTAATATGTATCTTATTGTAATGTGTATGAGTGTAAACAATGATTAACTTGTTAAATCAAACACATAGTGATTTGTGATATAAAAGGATAATTGTAAGAACAATATTCATTTCAAATTCATTGATTTAAGCACAGATAATTCAAACATTTGGTTTAAACATCTTGTTCATTCATCACATATGATTATGTAACCCATAAGTTGTAAAGCCTTGTAGAATTTGTGTGGATTCACTTTTATTCAGAGTCAGGAATCCAGCAGTCTGACTTTTAGCAGAGAGATGAGGCTTTTGCGGGAGACCTTGACAGTTTATTTATGTCTGCTTGAAGAACAATAAGTGAGCAAAAGGTTGATTTATGTGTCTGGATCCTCCAGATGGCGTAACCTTGACTTTGCCCCTCTGGCGTGCATGAAAGGTTATGCTGTGTCAATTTGATGGTGAAATTTGACCCTTTTGATTCATTACAAAGTGATGAGTAGAGCTTCCACGAAAACCACTGAAGTTTATTCCAGTAAAAACCAGTTTTTATTTAGCAGAAACTCAACACATTGGTTTTAATTCCAAACAAGCTCTGAAGTAATGATGTTCTTCCTCTCTTCCATTCAGGCCTTCCTGTTTTTCAGTGATTGGTCCTCAGGTCTCAATTTTATCCAGGATCACATTAAAAAGCCATTTGTGATTGATGGGTGTCCCCTCGGTGTCTTCCTCGTCCTCCAGTTACCGCATCCTGGACTCCGCGAGGTACAGGACCCTGATCTATTTATTTATGTTTACAAAAGAAAAGGTGGTTGACACTTTTTACTCAACAGTTTTTAATAATCTCTGGATTTTAGAGAGAAATTTGTTTACGATGTAGTTTTAGTCTGATCTCAGAGTTAGATTTTAAATTAACATGATTGGTGTCTCCTAATCTGTTCACAGGAAGAGGTGTACAAGAACGTGCTAAAATGGAGCAACCACGTGAGTTCTTGCTAGTGTATATATGTTGATGGTTTTACGATGGTGTGTGTGGATCTTCTGGTTCCTTTAACACCACCTGCTGTTGTTCCCAGCACGTTGAAGACCCTGACACTCTAGAGGAGCGGATGCTGCACGTCCAGACCTTGGAGGCATCACTTAACGTTGTGGATTCGGTCATGAGCGTGGTGTCGTCTGTTGCTACTTTTGTCAACTTCTTGCCGCTGGGAAACAGGGTACAATGATTCAGGGCCTGCAGATGAATAACAGTATAAAATAAATGAATCAATTTTCAACGTCAGCTCCAGAATTATAGGGGTAAACATGTGTGAATAAAAAAAAATTCCATGTTAATTTATTTGAAACCAGGGTTTTGTTACATGTTTGTGTTGGATTTGAGGTGTTTGAATGTTTGCAGTTCACTGAGAATCCATTTTTCACTCTTTATTTTTTAAATATGATTGGCCACTCTGAGTTAGACATGCAGGCTGAATGTGAAAATAGTCTACTTTCCCTATTTTCTGCATTAGCTACTGATAGAAACTAGATGGGGAAATGTTAAGGTCAGAAAAAGCCGGTCAGGTCTACGTCACACTTTAAATGGTCACGGACTCACCCATCTCGACTCGCGCAAGGAGGGCTGTTGTTGGTTCAGCATTGAGAGCGCAGAACACATCTTAGCTAGTATAGGCTAACTGTTAGCGTTAGCAACGCTACATCAAGGCAGAACTCCTTCAAGCTTGTGTTTTTTGTGGAGACAAAACATCAACGTTGCAGAGTAAGCAGTCAGTGGTAGAGTGGTGTTGCTGTTAGCCAATCAAAGAAGAGATGTCTGAATATCAGGAAATAAGACTGTAAAACCTGCTGTCTTGTGTTTACCTTACTCCGGCTAACGTCTGTTTGCTGAAGCAGGCGCACCAGAGCTTCTTTCCCCATAGAGATCGACTGTCAAGGCATTAATTTGTACTAGAGCCCACTGCAAATGTGTTGACAAAAACTAGTGAACTTGGTCTTTAATATAGTGCTCAAACTTTTAATGATAAGCATCTCTTGACGTGGGAGTAAATCATCACAAATAAAAGATGTTCTACAATCTGAAAAACTCACCTTTAAGGTGCTTGTGAAGTGCTTTAATTTGAAATGGGGGGAAAAGTAATTTCACGAGAAGTTGGAAAGTGAGGTTGAGTTCAGTTGAATTAAAATTTAATCAGTTTAAGTCTTTAATATAACCGCAGTTGTTGTTTTTAATTATTTTCTTCATCAGATCTACATCGAGATGCCCGACTCCAGTGCAGCGGTTCGACTGTTGGAGAAGATCAAGTCACTGGACAATTTACACGCTGATGGCAGATGGTGTGTGTGTGTGTGTGTGTGTGTGTGTGTAAATACACTTAACAGTGAGTTTTCTCAGTATTTAATCACAAAGTCTCTTTTGTGTTCTCTTTTGTAGGAATAAAGTTGGAAAAATCGAGCCGTGAGTACTTTTTTGTCTTTAAAGTGAAAGTGGTGGTGTGTACTACGGGGGCAGGGGTGGCCAACCAGTCAGTCCAAGAGCATCTGTTTCTTACCGTGTTACCGTAAAGAGCCACATACACATGGGCACACACGACCATCACCCATCCTTTCTTCTCACACACACACACACACACACACACCTCTACTGTAGATAAAAATGTTAGCAGAGCTCAATATTCCGAGGTTGTCATCAGGGTTGACGTAGGAAACAAACCATACCGACACATCAGCTGTCATTCACAAGAGGAGGAGTTTATTATTCCAGTCACGTCTTTTATGCAGCGCTGAAAGCAATCTCATTGGTTGTCACAACAGGTAAAGCAAATAATCAATAGAGCCAGAAACTTTGACAAATGAGAACAAAACATAAACATAAATACATAAACTTATTTGGAGTGCAAATAAACAACTCACTCAACACTCAACAAGAGGGCTCTTGGATGGAAGAGGAGAGGAGCTAAGTGAGAAGAGTAGAAAGCTGTGTACTTCATGGCAGAATCTCCAAAAGCAACAATTCTCATGCCCGCTTTTGTTAAGGCCCGCCCATGTCCTTCATGTTCCTGAGAAGGAAATGTTGCTATTAGATCATCAGATTGTTTTTTGTCCAGTTATACTTAATCACCAGTTTCGAATGGGCCAGTGATATTTATGGACCTTCGACCCTTTTCACTAGGAACAGCATTTTAGGTCCATTGTACCAACTAACTTATTGCTAGCTAACAATTAAACATGTTATTTGTTTTTTATTTCAGCTTAAGGAAACTACAACTGCATATTCTGAAATCCAGTTCTGTTGTGATGAGGCCTAAAAATCTGACTAAAAATGCACGGACCAAGCATCGAAAAGGAAACGAACCAGCTTTCATGCCTAGGTTGGTCAAACCGACAGCCTCTGCAGAGTTCACCTCATTCCAGTCCAAACTGGGACCAAGTGACACATCTCTGGAGAAGAGTGCAGTCTTTCGACGAGTGACCCGTTCTTCAGCTTTGCAGAAGTCCTCAGATATTCCCGAGTTTCATAGAACTGAAGGTGAACCAGTGGAAGGAACATCTGACCACACAATGTCAACAGAGAGCAACGCGGCACCACCCGTTGAGTCGGAGTCTAAAATGGAAACGTCAGCGTTGGACCCAGAGATGGTTGAGGAAACGGCTGATAAGAATCAAACATTGAGTGATCAGTCTTCGGGAAATGATGAGAAACATTGTGACCATATCCCAAATGAAAATAACCACATGGGTGGAGAAGAAAACGACAAAAACTCATCAAAACATTTAACTGAAGAAGTCTCTGAGACATCAGTGGCTAATCAGACCATAACAGAACCTGAATGCCAGAAACTAGAAGCTCCCGATGATGCTGGACCTACAGAAGACGATGAAGTGAACCAGGTAATGGATAGTAGGGAGGATCAACCAACAACAGAGACTGTGACTGAGTTAGAAGGAACCAATGAAGGCAGTTTGGCAAGTCGCTTAAGGAGCAGAACATCTAATGAAGATAAAGAAATGTCATCAAAGAAACAAGGCAAGATGATTAGAAAGTATGAGACGCGAGTAAAAAACCAGACGGAAAAGGAAGAAAAAGTTACCGAGGGTACCAAGGAGGTCAAAGATTGTGCTGAAGAAGCTTCAACCTCACATGGTTCTGGTAGAATAAAGATGGTTGGAGGAGTCAAAGAAAACCAAAAAACATTGGATCAGATGAAAAAACCCGAACAAGTTCATGCTAAAAAGACGCTGGATGACTCTGGTGCTGGTGAGCCAATGAACACCAGATCTACCAGAGGAAGAGAGAGAACCAAGAAGGATGCTGAACACGAGAAGACCCAAACAAAAAGACAGCACACACCACCAAAGAAGAGCAACACTGTCAGAGAGGAGGAGGAGGTCACTTATGTGATTTTAGATGCTGTTGAGGTGGAGGATGTTGAGGAGGGTCCACCAACAACCCCAAAACCAAGGACAGAAAGATCAAAGATTAAAATACAAACTGTAAAGGAAGAGCTGCCCAACACAACTGCTGATGTAGAAGATGTCTGGCAGATCCTTGACTCTGTTGACGATGAAGAGCCTCCTGCAGAACCATCAGCTGCTCCTGAAGGTGATAACAGGAGGACAACAGAGAGAGCAGCATCCCCTGCAGATACTCAGAATGATCGAACTCTAGATGAACGGATGAGAAAAGATGTTTTCATTGAGAAGAAAATGACAACAAGTGAGACAGAATGTGAACTTATTACAGAAGAAGCTTCTGGTTCCTCAGATGTTGACAGACCCACACAAGATACCACAAAGGAGGAGAGTCTGAGTGTAGGAGGTTTACCTGCTGCGGAGGATTTGGTTACAGGAGACACGCAAACAACACCTGGGATGGAGTTAAACTACAGGAACAAACCAGAACGTGAGCCCAGGACCGAGGCACCAGGAGAGAAGATTGAGGAGCCTGAGGTCTGGTTCTTCTGACAGGTTTCATTTTGCTGAATTTCTGCTCAGAAATCTCACTAAAGCGCCTGTGTTGGTGTTTAGATGGGCTCAGATGTAGGTGGACCTCCAGGCGAAGCTGAGGAAATGGCTGCGTCAGCTAAACGCAGACATGATGATGTCACAGGTTGGTGTTTCTGTTCACCGTTTACTTATCAGCTCATTTTAACTTCTGGGTCTGCCTAGGCTCATGGGCTCTGTTTGTTTCAGAGGGGTGTGTGACCCTGGCGACCTCGGACGAAGTTGGAAAGGCTGAAGAGGAGACCAAAGTTACGAGGAGCAGAACGAGAGGCCGACCGAGGAAGAAAGCCAGAAAGACTCCTGGTGACTAAAACACGGATGAAAGAGTCGTGTCAGCTCTCAGAAACATGAACCTCACCTGTTTGGTTTTCTTCTCCAGTGAGAAAATCCACCAGAAGGGAAACGCCGAGCGCTGAGGATGAGAGAGAGGAGGAGGAGAAAGACAAATCTCCTCCTGCTCCTATGGTTTTCTCCTCCACTCTAGACCAAGACCCACCTGCTCCATCAGGAGACCTGGAGGCCCAGACGATGGAGGTTTCTGCTGAGCAGCAGCGACGGTCCGAGAGTCCAGTTGGACAGAAGCTGAGCGCCTGTGTGGAGGAAGAGGAGGAGAAAAAGCTAATCAGTGGTACAAAAGTGAAACAAACTACAATTATTTGAAAAACTTGACCTAATAAATGCTCAAAAAATCCCTCAAAATGATGTTTTATAAAATGTTTTGGCAATATAATTGTTATTACTACTGTATAAAATCATAACTTCTCTAACCTGCCTGAGTGTGTGTGACTGGATGATTCATCCACCCGTCTTTGCTCTCCAGTCGGTGGTGAAAACGTACGGGACCTTGTTGGACCTGAAACTAAACCGTCTCCTGACGACTTCCAGCTGCCCCCGTTTGACCCCGATCGACCCCTGGGTAAGTAAAACACAAACACTTCCTCTTTGCCATTGTTCTGATACTTTTTGTCTCGTGCCTCTGTTCTGTTTATGTTTTCTTTTGTTCAGAATCTTTTGCAGAGGTGTTTCTGCCTCTTATTGAAAGGTCTCTTAGGCTTTTCTCCTGAGGTTTATGGTTTTAAACTCATTTTAGCTCAGTTTCCTGAAGTCAGAAGATCATACTGGAGTTTCAATGAAAAAAGTCACTTGGTTATTTAAAAAACAACAAGTTTCTTAACTCAAGATCATGAAAAACACCAACTTTCCCCAAAACTGTTAAGATACTGGAGAGAAGATGAGTGAAAAATCTGCTGTAATTAAAAGAACTTTTAATAAATCTGAATAAAATCCAGTGTAGTTAGTCAGCTCCGTTTTCATTGTTCTAACTAGCGTGGCGTCTGCTTCAGTGAGTTTTTAAAAGGGTTTGGAGATTTCTGGTTTAAACTGAGGACCTTCAGAACCGGTTCTGACTGGTTCTTCTGAGGCCGTGCCATACTGATGAGACAGAAACAGCATCTCTCAGCTGTGGCCCTGCAGCCCTGATGGAGTGAACAGGTGTTTCCATGTTTCTCCTGGTCTTCAGGGATGGAGTTCACCGTGAGGAGATGGGCCCATTTCTGCAACCTCTGCTCCGTCTTCTACACCAGTGAGAACTATGAGAAAGACCCACACTGCTGCAGCGAGACGCACTACAACAATCTGATGGTAATCACACAGGATCCGCTCCTGAAAACACCCCGTCAGCTTCTGGTTCCTCACCTTTTTACTCTTCTGTTTTCAGAAACATTACCAGGAACTTCAGCAGAAACCCGCAGGAGCATCAGAAGGGCCTCGCTCCTCTACTCCCACCGTTTCACCCTAAATATGTTCAGACTGAAATGTTTGTGGTTGTTTATCCATTAAAACAGACGAGAAAAAGAAACGGTAGACTCAAAGAGACTAAAGGCTGTCTGCTCAGTGTGGAGATGTTCCTGCTTCATCCTGTCGATTAAAAAGGAGTTTTTTATGTGTGAATGACAGGAACAGGAACAGGAAGTAGTTCCTGTTTTTTTCTGTTTAAACTCAGAGACTCTGTTGCTGGAACTCTCCAGAACTTCTGTTTATATTCTACAAGGATCCATAATTATGTAGCCTGGCAAACCAGACTAAATAAATGTTATTTATACTTAGCAAAGCAAGAGTTGTGTCTAGTTTACATAGGGAATGCAGTTTTAGTCCTCATTTGTGCTTACGTCTTGTTATTTTAGTGTCTATCTCTCTCTCTCTCACACACACACACACACACACACACACACACACACACACACACACACACACACACACACACACAGGCTGAGCTTAGAAAGTATAAAACCGTTTTACCTGGGGCTTCTTTTCTCTCCACCCTTTAGATCCTGTAGATCACTTCCTCAGCGCTGAACTTGTTTTACTTCTCTGCTCATTTTTAATTAAACAGTCATTATTTGGTTCTTTTAAACGACCAGCTGAGGTATTTTTTTTTACAGATGTTTACAAAAATGAAAATGTTTTTTCAAATTCAAATCTGTTTTTAGTAAATGTTTCTAATATCTTAGGTGAAGGTTCCCGTCATTGTACGTGCCTGGGATTTCCTATCTTCAGTAGGGAAAGGGTGACGTGATGCAGCTGTGAAACAAACGTGACCGTCTTAAATTCAGGCTGTCTGTCTTCTGTCTGTAGGAATAAGAATGCATTCGTGGCACGAGGGGACAATCTGGTCTTGGGACTCAAATTGCCTCAGGTTCAGTCAAGTCAGGTGGTAAATTAACCACTTTTTCCTTTTTGACCCTGTAACTTCCACTGTAATAAAATGTATTTTTGCATTATTTATTCATTTGGAACGGCAAGGGTTACAAAATGTAGTTATCAGAGCAGCAGTAGCTCAGGAGGTAGACAGTTGTGCGGTTACCGGAGAGTTGCAGAATCGATCCTAGCTCCCGCCAGAGAATGCTGCTGTTGTGTCCTTGGGCAAGGCACTTAACACAACTTTCCTGCTGGTGTTGGCTGGAGAAACCGGTGGCGCCGGTGTTCAGCAGCCTCGCCTCTTGTCAGTGCACCCCAGGGGGGCTGTGGCTACATCGTCACCATCAGGGTGTGAATATCAACTGAGTGTGTTGTAAAGGGTCTTGGGGGGGTTCTAGGACTGTAGAAGGTGCTCTACAGGCCATGTACCGTTTTAAAAATAAAACAAAATGAATACTACAGTGTAATAATGGGTAACTTTGTACTCCAATATCTGCATTTTTCTTTAAAAGTTTTGATTAACTAAAATACGACCACATGGTTGGCCTGCCTTTCACATAATCCTGAGCATCACTTTGATAATTCTTTAAAGAAACTTACTTCACTCCCTCTTCATGTTTGAAAAATGCAACAAATTCTGTTGCCTAGCAGACCGAGAGGGCGGAGCCGCTAACAAATACACAAGCTCACTACGGCATTGTGACATAAGGACCAGTTTACATCATAGCATACCTCTTAGCCAATAGCAGTGGCAGATTTAAATTCAAATACAGTGCAGAGTTTTTACCAGACGACGGCACAACACTGACAGTTTTAGGCAGAATATTTAAATTTGAACTAAGATGCACTGAAGTACCAAATTATTGACGACACGTGTCTGCAGCACAATTAGACACTTTTTTTTTTGCTTATAAACTATATAAAAGTTGATTTGGGGTGACTTGCTCTTTAAAGAAACTTTAAACCATAAGTCACATGGAAGTGTGTTATTCAGAATATTTAAATGGTCACACTCATCCAACCCTCAAGGGTACTGCTGTTGTTTCCATCCTGAGATGGAGTTTGCTTCTTCAGTTCATCGCTTTGTGGAAAAGGGCCTCGTCAACAATAATGAAGAAAAAAAAAACGAGCGACTGAAATATACAGAAATGAGGAAACTAATGAGCAGTGGTGGATCTCACAAGTCAGCCAGAAAGGGAGACCACTAATTCCAGCCAATTTCTGCTGTGATCCTTTTTCTGCTGTAGCAATTAATACATATTATGACCAGTAAAATGTGATATTCCAGTGGTTCCTAACCTGGGGGTCCCGACCCCCACAAGGGGGCGCCAAAGCCTCTCAGTGGGTCGCCCGGACCTCTCCACTTTAAGGGGTTAAAACTTTATTTATTACTTGTTTATAGCCTACATTTTGCTCACATTTCTTTCATGAGTGAAAAGTTTACTGATATTAAGACAGGAAATAATTAGTACAGAAAAAGTAACACTTTTTAGAACATTTTGCTCAACTCTGTTTTATTTTCAAGTGTCAAAAGTTCATTAAAGATAGGACTGGTTGATTAACCACAGCGTTTACAGTAAATAATCTAGTATGAACAGTAATATACACATTTAAGTACATTTTGCTCTGTGTATTTTTTATGTGTCAAACGTTTATTGAAAGGAATGATTGATTTATCAGTGTTTACAAGAAACAATGTGTTCAGAAAAGTAATACAAACTGTCAAGCACATTACGCCCTGTTTGGTTTTGTTAATGACTTTGTTCTGTACTGGAGCCTACTATTACTGTTATCTATTGAATCAAAGCATGTTAAAATGTGCTTGAACAATTTTATCATTTCTTAATACTGTTTGTACTGGAAGAGAGAATGGGAGGGGGTCGTCAAAAATGTTACTGGTAAAAAAGGGGTCCCCTTGGGAAAAAGGTTGGGAACCACTGTGATATTCCATACAAATATGAAATATCAATCTGATTGATCTTTGAATGTTTAATCAGAAAATTCTAGGGTTCTTTGATTATTCAGGGACCATAAACACACTTCGTATTAATTCAGAGAGTCAGTATATTGTTTATAAAATTAATTTATTTTTCCTAAACTAATGATACATGACATGAGGAGATGTGAGGTGTGTGATGCAGCTCGATGTTGTAGCAATTGTTTTTTGTATCTGAGAGAAATTGTGAAATCCATTGTTTGTTATAAACTAGAGAGTTAGTTATTGATAAAAACCTCATCAGACATCAGTATGCAGGCTGGTATGAGTTGCTCCCGGCGGTCCGGAGGGTTGTGGTCACAGTGGTGAGGTCACCGGACGTCGAAACCACGAAACTCAGATTAGTAGCTTCCTCGGAGTTCAGCTTCCCCGGCTATGAGATGCAACCCGGGGTCTGCAGATTAGGTGTCCAAGGTGGATGTCTGAGGCCTAGTCCACACGTAGCCGGGGTTTTTTTAAAACGAATATCCGCCCCTCCAAAAACTTGCATCCACACCACCGCGTTTTAAAAACAAACTCTGTCCACACGTACCCGGATAAATACGTTGTTAAGGACATGCCAGACCTGTAGGCGGCAGTATTTCCCCCGTTCTTAACCTCGTCCTTCGTCTGTGGTCTTCCACAAGGAGCAGTAATTCCGCATGCAAAAACAAACAAGCAGAAAGCGCTTGGACAATTGATGGATCGGGTAGTGACAGAGCGCAGCTCTGAGGGCTTCAGATGTCGGCTAGTGTAAACACAGGTCGCACACGTGATGTCAGCATTTTTTGTTGCGGACCTTAAAACTCCGGTTTTGTCTGTCCACACGCAGACACCCAAAACGGAGAAAACGCAGATCTTCACTTTGGCCGGAGTTTTTAAAAAGATCCGTTTTCGTGTGAAAAAACTCCGTTTTTGTGTGGATGACAGGCCAAAACTTAGAAAAATATCTACGTTTTAGCAGATCCCCGGCTACGTGTGGACAGGGCCTGAGAGTTGAAGTAGCTCTGAAAAGAGCTGTTGAGTGTCTGTAATCACTTGCAGCGTTGCAGAAAGGTTTTGACTTCAGGTCAAAGGAGATGGTTTAAAAAGAGCTGCTTCTTTCCCAATTTGGCCGAATCGGGGCTCAGCTGGAAACTGAATTACTCGGAAAGTAATTCTTGTTTTATTAAACTACTTTGTTAAGATTTCTGGCCAAGTGTCGCAAATCAGAATTTGACATGTTTCTGAGTATTTACCAGCATCCCTCAGAAAGCCGCGCCTTCCTTCAGATACAAAAATGTTTTTAACCTTAACATGTATCTTATTGTAATGTGTATGAGAGCAAACAATGATTAACTTGTTAAATCAAACACATACTGATTTGTGATGTAAATGGATCATTGTAAGAACAATATTCATTTGAAATTCATTGATTTAAGCACAGATTTTTCAAACATTTGATTTAAACATCTTGTTCATCCACCTCCCCCTGCTCCTCAGGACATGCACCTATATGCAGCTGTGCTACAACTCTACCAGGCTGGACGTCCTCTTAGTAATACCAGTGGCAGCCATGCGACTCAGCCATGTTTGACCATATGGTCCCCAGGTGTGGACAGGTTACCAGTGGTATATGGAACACAGTAGACTGCCCCCTTACGGAGGATCAGGATGGGGCGAAGTCATTGCAAACACCGGTAATTGGCCATCCGACACTTACGGATGGAACGAGCCAATCTGGAAAAAGATCATCTCCAACTTCATGGTCACATCTTCATTCATCAGCTTCAGAATAAATTCCACTCTAACCCCATTTCCCACACCACTTAAATCCTTCGATCGCCTCGAGCTGCTCCGTTCTTCTGATCTGTGCATGGGCATCTGGGGAGGATCCCTGCTGGACATTAACTTTTTGCGAAACAAATGCAGCATTTCGAAACACCCATGACTCCACTGGAGTACTGGCGCCCGCACCAGCATCCAAGTCGGCCAAATCCGTGAGCATTATCTCTTCAGACCTCACCGCTGATGATTGGTTCACTGTAGTCACAGGTATAAGTGGTCAGAATAACAACTGGTTACTGATGACTGAACAATAAGTCAAATCTTTGGGAGAAGACTGGTTTGTTTAGGGCCCCAACCCATCCCCTCAATTATACCCTCTCCTGTTCCTTCTGAATGCGTTATTGAATTGTTTTCCAAGACTTCCGACCTGTCTGTAAATTGTACCAAATTTGACAAAGTATTCCCTTGACATCGTTCACCAAAGATAAACCTTTGTTTTCTACTAAGGTGGCCTTAGCTAATTATACCTGCATCAATATGACTTCAACTGGTGACCCCATCAGCTTGCAACATCCTTGTCATTGTGTTTCTACTACTACTGTTACTTCAACTGTTAAACCCCTGTCTAGGTCTGACATCTGGTGGTGGCGTGGTGACTCTAAGATTTATGATAGACTTCCAGGTAATTTCACAGGTCAATGTGCCCTTGTTACCTTACTCCTGCCTATTTCTGTAACCCCAGTTGATCCTGTCCAGCTGTTCAATAAACTGCAGAATGTTATTCCAGCACTATGGACTTGTGTTAAACGAAGCAATACAGGTAAAAAA